GAGCAGCATAAGCTGTAGGAAGCAAACCAGCTAGTAGCAAGATTATTGTCCACATAAAAAACCAGTTACACAGCTCACTATATATATATTCAAAGATATATCAGCATATATTATTCATATGCATAGTTGATTATACAAATTATTATCTACTTACATCAAGTTCTTCTTTGAATGCTTAGTAGATTTTTCTCCTTCTCTTCTTCCTTATCCTGCATCCTTTTCTCCTCAGCAATCTCAGCAAGATACTCCTTAACAACAATAGGAATGTTTCCAAAACTAGGCTTATATGGTCCCCAGACTTCAAGTGTGGATTTAGCAGTAGGATCTCCTTTCAGCCATTTTTCAAGCTAAGGATACTTGAGAACTGAAGGAAAGGCTTTATGATAATATTTGAAATAGCCTGCATGAGATATGAAGATCTCATGAATATCATCATTTACTGGCATCTTTGCAGTCCATAGTCCATCATCTTTAAGTTGTTTAAGATGGCTCCTAGTATCTTCAATAGCAAGATATTTTGCATAAGACTGCTGGATATCCCCTCTCCAGCAGTCAGTAAGATTGAATAGAATATTCAGAGTGGTAGCAATGAGATATTGAACAGAGTTTGTAGCAAAAGGATATCCAGCAGCTGAAGTAGATGCAGAGGCAGAGGCAGAAGCAGAAGCAGAAACAGAAACAGAGACAGAAACAGAGGCAGAATGGGAATCAGAGTGAGAGGAAGCAAGTAAAAGAGCACCAAAACTAATAGCCTGTGATTGATTGAAATTAATTTCCTCCTATATAAATAATTAATCAGTATATTATAATTTTAAATATAAAATATATATACCACAAGAATAGGTAAAGTGAGCTGGCTACTTGAAAAAGCTATCCAATCTATGGTTTCATTTTCTATAATGGCCTTAGCATACTGGCCTTTAACAGACCAGATATTATCTTCATTAACAAAGATATATGGATTGCTTTCTAATAAAAGTATTAGAAAGAGACAAACAATAT